GGGGGGGGGGGCGGCAGCAGGGAAGTAAACCACGCCCACGGAGCACCAAAGGCAGAGGGACACACGGCGGCTGGAGACGCCGTCCCCGCCAGGCCCACCTCTGCAGCTTGCGGAAGCCCATGAAGATCTTGTTGCGCTTGAACTTCATCTTCCCATGAAGGCACATGATCTCCACGCCCTTCACCAGCGCCTCCAGGGCCTTGCCGTAGTATTCCACGCAGGCACAGGTGCTGCGAGGGGGACCGAGGGCTCAGGTGTGGGCCATTGGTCCCCTGCAACCAGACGCAGTGACGCCTGCCCTCCGGGAGAAGGCAGACGGCTGTGTGTGTCCACAGCTCAGCTCCAAATCCCCAACCCTCTCTGCCGACCAACTCCCCTCGAGCATGAGCTGGAACCCCCAGGACACGTGCCCACGCCTGAAGGGGATGCCGCAGCAAGGGGGCCCCGGCCTGAGAAACGGCTTAAACAGAAGTCGTCTTCCGTAACAAAAGCAACGACATCTTCAATGTGAAGTTTCACAGATTTCCAAACGCTCCTGCTTCCCCTCTGGGCACCGGCTTCTCCCCCATCACCAACTCCCAGGCTCAGCAGGTAAGCCAGGTCCCCCAAGCAGATCCACCCCAGGTATCTGGTCTGGGCGCCAAGTCACCCCAGGACGTCGCAGTGAGGGTGCACAAGAGGGATGGCCACGCAGCTCTCTGGGGCTCCCCGACCGTCTTCCCAACGGCTGGGCATCCAGCTTTGGGTGTCTGTGAGCTCCCTCTGCAGCGCCCGCTAATGAAGTTCACCCACGCCCCTTTTCACTGGGAAGGGCTCCAACGTGACGTCACACCTGGTGACGGGCCTGAAGCTTAGGGAGCAGCCATGGGTGGGAGGGCAGAGCCTGAGCTGAGGTCTCTTCCTTCCCCAGGGCTCTCCCACCGCACGAGGCTGCAGGTCCCACCCGGCTCCCTCCTGCCACTTAGACCTCCTCTCCAAGGCCTGGCATAGTGACTGCCTCACTCTGTCCCCACAAGTTCACGCCATGGGACACAAGCAGTGAGATCCTGAACGCAATCTGTGCCTCCTGAAGTCTTTGTTTTGTGTGCGTGTGTGTGAGTGTGAGTGCCAGGCTGTATTTCTCAGCTGGGGGTCAATATAGCCGCGACAACTGCAGAAACACGGCCCTGACGTTGCGGGACACAGAGCAGCAGGACCTGCCTTCCTCGGGACTAGGTTCTACAGGAGCTGAGTTTTCAGTTATTTGCAGCCAAAAGCATTCCTAACGGAGAAGCATCCTAACCGAGAACCGGGAGCCCCGGGCCCCGCCTCAGAGCCCAGAAGCGTTACCTGAAGAAGACCAGGTGCTTTTCCTGCTTATGATTGCGAAGGAAATGGACCAGCTGATTAAACTTCTCATCTGCCTTACACACCTGCAACGTAGAAGGAAGACGAGTAAAATAAACACAGATGCATTGACGACACTAATCCCCGTAGCGATGTTATTTCAGCCCTAATTTTAAGGGCCTGGTTTCCCGCACACACAGGACACGTTCACCAGACTGTCCAGCTGAAAAGTGAAGCCTTGTCAGCACCCTGCTTTAGCGGAGGGCACGTGTTCTACTTCCCCAGCTTTGCTGCGATGTAACTGGCTGGCAGATAAAACTGCACGTATTTAAGGTGCACAGTGTGACGATTTGATACACGTGTGAGTGTGAAACAGTGGCCACAAGGTAACTGCCTGGCTGCTGCCCAGCCAGGTGTGGCTCACCGGTTGAGCATCGACCTCTGAACCAAGAGTTTACTGGTTGGATTCCTGGTCAGGCCACAGCCCCGGTGGTGGGCCTGATACCCAGTAGGAGGCTTTCAGGAGGCAGCCGATTGATGTTTCTCTCTCATCAATGTTTTTATCTCTCTCCCCCTCCCTTCTTCTCTAAATTCAATAAAAACATTAAAAAAAAAACACACAAACTAACATTACCTATCACCACATGGTTACCTTGGTTTTCTGTGAGAACCCTTACGATCTGCCCCTTAGCAAATTCAAGTGCACACCCCGGCACTGAGTCCCGTCACGGGGCTGCACGGAGACCGCAGGCACCACTGTGCGCGAGCATCCCAGGGGCTCACCATGTAGTGGTTCTCCAGGCGCGAGGGGGTCTTCTGGGTGCTGCTGGCCGCCACGCCCTTCTCCTTCACAGAGATGCGCACGGGGTTCCGCAGGCCTGCTCGCACCAGGTTCTCCACCTCCTGCGTCTGGGTGGCCGAGAACAGGCCCGTTCTCCTCTGCTTGGGCAAAAACCCCAGGATGCTGTTTATGCTGCAAAAAGGGTGCAAACTGAACCCTGTGTGTCGGCATGACCAGCAAACATTACACGAGGATACTGAACATCACATTACACTCAACTTGGGAAAGCCTGAAAGAGAAACTATCGCAGTATTTACAGCAAATGTCACTGAGAGGTGAGGTGATGAGTGCCTTTTATTTCTTCTTTATGTTCCCACTTTTCCAGTTTCTCTATATAAGCACATAATTGTGCTTTCACAAAATGGGGCAGTTCAAAGAAGAAAGTGAAATTAAGACAAACTTGTTGAGACTAAAAACCAGTGAACTGCACATTTTAAATGGTTGAATTGTATGACATAGGACTCAGATCCCAATTGAGCTATACATACACGCGCGCGCACACACAAAAACTTTAAAAGAAACCATGGAGGGAAATGCATCTTAAGATGAAGAACTGGGCCCTGGCCAGGAGGCTCAGGTGGTAGGAGCACTGTCCTGTACACCAAAAGGTTGAGGGTTCGATTCCTGATCAGGGTACATTAAGAGGCAACCTATCAATGTTTCTTTCTCTTTCTCTTTCTCTCAACATATCCTCGGGTGAGGATTAAGGAAAAAATAAAATTTCAAAAGATGAACTGGAGTTTATATTGTGGGGTAGAATTTGAGGGAGCAAACAATCTAATGCTGTGAAATTCTTGTGTCCAATCAAGTCTGAAATCCAGTACCTGGCCTCGAACCCCATGTCCAGAAGCCTGTCTGCCTCATCCAACACCAGGACATCCAGGGACCTCACGCAGCTGGCCAGGTCCAAGCCCTCGGCCTTCCTCCGGAACATGTCCTCCAAGCGGCCTGGAGTCGCCACAATGATGTTCCCTCTTGGAAAACAAAGTTAACATTGACCACAATTTCGGGTCTTGGGGGTAATTTGTAATTCCAAACACATTTTATATCCGATCCCCGAAGAAGTCACCTAGATCCCAGTGGAGAGAAAGGAGACACGTGAGCGGGAGGACAGATGAATGGGGAACTCCGAGTGACGTGCGGGTGGAAATCCCAAGCCCCCATTTTAGACGTGTCTGCAACCGCTGGGCGATGCCAGGGAGATGCAGGCAGACGAGTGGATGTGTGCGGACCTGGGGCTCGGGGCGAGGTCAGAAACCACCAGGAGGGATGAGGCCACTTAGAGAGCCCGGAGTGACCAAAGCAGGGCCCTGAGCCCTGTGCAGTCACTGGGGAGAGCTGGGGGGCCACAGCCCACACGTCCCTGCTCCTGCAGGGGTAAGGCTCGCTGGAGGGAGGGTTCGGGAGGGCCGAAAGGAAGGAGCCGGAGAGTCAAAAGGGAGACTGGCCCGGAAACACCTTGTTGGGAGGGGAGTTCCTGGTTAGGCTGAGATCATGCATCCATTCCTCCTGGGTTCAGGGCCAAGGGCAAGCAAAGAACCGAGCAGCGAGGAAACGTACCCGTGTTCCTTAAACCTCGAGACATCTTCTCCGGGATTCCTGCCTCCGATCCAGAGAATCTGGCTGAAACAGGAAACAGGTCCTGAGCAGGCCAGGCACAGTCCCGGCCCGTGGCCAACAGGGGCCCTGCATCCCCTTTACCTGAACTGCGGGAAGGACTTCGTGAAATGCGACAGGACCTCATCTATCTGAACAGCCAGCTCTCGCGTGGGTGTGATGATTATGGCTCCAACCTGCGGGGCGGGAGGCGCGATGAGCAGTGCGCAGGGCCTGCAAGCTGAGCACATGCACCCGGACCCTCCCCCTCACTGCCTGGGCTTGTGAGAGCCCCGGTCCCAGGGCACGTCCACTACTTTCACTCAGCCCGTCCCCATGTTCTCGGCAGCCAAGGGGTGGTCCCCGGGCCACTGGTGGTCGGTGAGGTCTGAGAGGTTGGCAACCGCTGCCTTCAAGTGCCACGAACTCTGAACCAGCCAATATTGAACCAGTGCTCCTGGGGGCATTTGGGGTGAGGTTCCTGGGAGCCTCGGGTCCCCTTTGCATCCACCAATCGATATAGAGGTTTGGCTTAGGTTTCTGTTTAAAGACGACGATTTAAAATGTCCTCTTAACTCACTGACATTGAACTCAGCCACCAGCACGTCCCTCCACCTGAAGGCGGCTTGTCTAACACACTTCCTCCATAAGCCCCGCGACGGTCTAACAGCGAGGTCACCCGCAGAAATGCACACATCACAGCAGTAAGGGGGCCTCAGGCGGAACCGGGAGGACGGAGTGTCTCCTGTTCAACCCCGGGGCTGCCGGCCCGGCCCGGGGGCAGCGGGAGAGGTGGGAGCGGCAGATCGGTCTCCGGTGCAGACCGGCGCAGAGGCAGGATCCGCGCACAATGAGAACAGACTTCACCCCCGTTTGCTGTCTGAGCATCTGACCAGCTTCCCAGCCACCTGTGCGCGGCCCGGGCCGCCTCACCTGACTCCTCCTCAGCGGCTCCTCCCTCCGCAGGAGGATCTCCAGGATGGGGATGACGAAGGCGAGGG